CGAGAATTAATACTACTAATCTCCTTATACTATAAACCTTACCTTATATTTATATAGAAATCTATGCTTATCGAACTTATATATTATCACCTATATCGAATTAAGAACCTGATATCTATCTGCTATGGACGCCGGCACCCGTATCCATAATCCTATCTCCTCGTGGCTCCGTAGATAGTCTTCTTATACCTATCGGAATAGGTGGCCGTAAGGGTATAAGGGTATATCGCGAGGGTTCTTCGGAGGATAAGGGAGGTTTTTACGGTGGATCTTTACGGCCGCCGGGGTAACCGCCGGAGTACCCGCTAAAGTAACCGCCGGGGTTATATTTCCCGAGATAGCCTCCTAGGATATACTTCCGGTAGCTACCGCCGGGGCTATAGATTCGTAGGGTATTATTAAGCGTCGCTATAACGCTATAGGCGTAGACCTTTTTAACTGTAATTTAGTTAGCGGAGTCCTATTTAATATATATATATTAGGGGCGTGGCGGCTAGCGTTAAACGTAGCGACGTAATAGTCTCTTTTCTAGCTATTTACTTACCGAATTAGTTATGCTCCTTTATTTAATAGGAGCCCTATAGCCGTAGCTATAGGGGTATCATAGCACCGTGTTCCGTTATCCTAGAACCCTACGGCCGTAGGGGTATTACGGCGGTTTCCTAATATAACGGCTACTATTAGCGCTATAACCGACGGCGGGGTTATTAATAGAGTAGGAAGTAGTAGATTAGGCGGATATAGACGGTGATTAGGCGTTATACCGGCTAAATTATACTATTCGTGACCTAAATCTTATCCTGATTAACTCGAGATAGCCTCCTTTACCCCCTTATAGCCGGGCATTACGGACTATAACCTTAACGGTAAAGCCGTCGAGGAAGGGGATCCGGGGGCGTTTATCCCCGGATCTAATAATTCAAAATAAGCAGTTATATAAAGGGGGGGGTCCTTAGCTTATACGTCCGTAAACGGCCGTGAATCTCTAGCCCTCTCCTACTTAATTTAACTAATTAGGTCTTCTAATTACTCCTCTGTTAATTAATAGAGGTTATCCTTAAAGGTGGCGATATCGCCGTTAAAGAAGGCGCGTTCGTTAAAATCTATATCGCGCGTTCGAATAACGCGGTTATAGCGGCGTAGGCTAGGCACCTAGATACGGAAAATATTAGTGGAATCGTAGCCGACGAGGTAGCCGATATAGGCGCGAGGAGCGATACGATTTAATAGCTTATTAGTAGCCTTTTAGGCGTCCTTTATTATCGCGTACGCCTTATAGCCGTAAGCTCGAAGGTGTGATAAAATCGGCTTCTTTTTAAAGAGGACCTTATAGGGCGTTTTCTAATTCTTTTACTGCCTTCGTAGCGTCCGGTTATAGACGTATACGGCCGTCAGAATAGCCTTAGGCTATATAAACGGTGGCAGTTTTACGTGGATATTTATCGTACGACCCTTCGAAATAACCACGGCAGTAGCGCGTTCGGCACCCCCGTTCTATACTTAAGTATCGGTAGCAGATACCTTTAAAAGGATACCCTCGCCACGCAGGAATTAGGTGATATTATAGGATTAAGTTAGCTCGTTATTAGATTCGAAAACGCGTACCTTATAGTCTAATTAGCGGTCTACCCAGGCGAGGAATTCCTTAATTATTACAAGGATATCCACTACTAGCTTACTTTTTATAATGTAGGTGGCCGTAAAACCACTATAATAGTCGGTGAAAAATATAAACCTTAAGTCCCCGTCGGATATTCGTTTAAAATCCGTAAAATTAATCGCTTATTACTCCCCTGCGTAGGTAAGTGTAGTGCGAGGGCGCCTACTAACGTGCCGTTTTATCTTTATAAGCTCGTAGGCCTTATAGTCGATAGTTATTAGTCCCTTGATTTTAACCCCCTATATCTACTCTTCTAGGTGCCGAAGTGGTTCAGGGCCTGCGTGCCCTAGGCGTAGATGCTATAAGATACCCTCCGTAGTGCTTAGATACTATATTATCGATTTATAGATAGCTTTTCGGGTGGAAGAAGAGCCTAGAAAAGCAGCCGCAGATTAGTTAGAGGGCATGTATTCAATAACGGTTTAATTAAAAGGGTAACTTAGCTAGTATAGTATAGATCTATCGGAACGCCGAATATAGTTATTTAGTGGCTTCTAATTCTACTAGTATCCTCGAAGACGTAGGCGTTAGTTAGAGATTAAATTAGAGGTAAAATCCTCGTAGTATATAATGTTTAACAGCCTAAAATCAAGGCCTCCTATTAGTCCGTTTAATCTCACGGTTATATTACCGTAACCTTTAATAGGCAGGGACGAATTACCTACGACTACGTAGTCTCCCGGTATAGCGGGTATAAAATCAGAAAAGCGGGAAAAATCGTTAAAAATATAAATAGTGGCACCGGAATTAAGGATAGTAGAGATTCGAAGAGGGTAGCTAGTAGTAGTGCTAGCCGTAAAGGTAGCGGCGTGGGAGACGCCGCTATAGACGCTACTATAGTTAAGTCACGCCTCTTTAAGCTATACAGAGTCCCGGCTTATATCCTTCTTCACCTTCTTTACGGCGCGTAGTTCTTCTACTTCCGCGCGTAGCGAGGGGTTATATTTAAGGATCCGTTAGACGGTTATTTTAGTGCTCTCGAAGGGTGTCTAATCGTTATATACTATATCCGGGAATAGATAGAAGCAGGCGTTAATATCGTGGCTAGGTATAGCGTATACGCGGTAGATCTGCCCTCTCTGCAGAGTAGATTAGCGGCGCTTAGAACGGTTAGTTAAAGTAGTTAAAGGTGTGGCTATAGGTACCGTGGTAGTGGGATTCTTAGCTTTATTCTTCCCACGGCCGCCCTTCTTACGGGGCTTAGCCGTGGCCTCTAAGGTATCTTTACCCTTTTCGCTTCCGGTATATAGTATAGGGAATATTATAGCGTGGTGGCTACCGCGTTTTCCTTAGTCTTTAAGTCTGGTGTTAATATACTTCTGGCCGAGGGTGTAAAGGTCTTCGGGTATAACTACTTAGTTATCTATAAGGCGTCCCTCGGCCTTAGTCTAATCGCGGCCGGTATAGGGGTGTATACCTCTAAAGAAATCTATAACCTATATATACGTGGCGGGCTTTAAACCGGTATCTTTATAGCTTTATAGTAGTAGCTGCTACTTATCTAATTACTCCCCGAGCTTTTTAAGGCTATTCGTAGGATACCGTGCGTGCTTAATATACTCTTTATAGGTATCGGTTTAGCGGGTGGCTAGGTACTAATCCGTATCGTGTTTAACGGCTTTATACACCTCGCGAGGCGTGCCTCTTTATAGCAGTTATCTGCGGCTTTAATCGATAGTATTAACCTATTAGGTTAGTATAGCGTTAATCTCTTTAAGGTAGCTATCGTATTACGTTTATAGGATCTTCTAGCGCGCGATTTCGATATCGTATACTTTCTAGCCGGCGTCCGTAAGGTCGAGATATTACGTAGGCGTACGCCTAGGTGTTATAGAGGGGAAAGAGCCGTAATCCGGTATTATAGGCTCCTCGGAGGACTAAGTCGGATCGACTAGGCGGAGAAACCTCTACACGTTATTATAGGTGGTAACCGATTCGTACAGGCGTCGCCAGAGCTCTTAATCCTTATAGGTTTTATACGTATTAGGGCTAAGGTGCGATATCTTAATAGTTATTTATAGATTAATACGCTATATCGGCGTAGCTAGATAGCTTCTTAAATCGGTAGTAGTAGTAAAAGGGTATATCTTCACTTAGTAAGTAAGACTCTTAATTATTAAATAAAGCGTAGTCAAAATCGTTATAAAACAGGTCAAAATTAATTAAGGCAATTATATATAATTATAACTGTCTTAGACCGTCAGGGAAACGCTGCCACCGTATTTTATATAGTGCAGATTCTGTAAGCGTCCACCCGGATTATACTCTTAGCAATCCGGCCTATTACGTAACCGAAAAGACTGTGGTCTGTTCGACAGGTTTGCTTCCTGGACGAATGCAACGACCGGTACCGTGTGGTACCTTGTCTCGCGCAGGTACGGAGGATACATACTATCGGTAAGGTAGTAAAAGGTGCGTGCTGGCTACGAAGTACGATGTATTAGACAAGGCCGGCCCTTGGCTGTACCTTGGGGGTTTCTCGTGCCTGGATCTTGATGGACCCGTCCCTGGGTTGGTACCTGGGCGTGATGGGCAAGGGGGTACGAACTGGGGCGACTGAGGGGCCCGGAACCAAGTCAGATGACGGCCTGTGATGCAACTACAACGTACGCACTAGTCCGGCACGTCGATCTCTCCGGCATGTGCGGCAACCAAGCATCGAGTAAAAGTGCTGCTTTCCCCACCAGAACCCGACCATGACCATAGGTAACTGTGTAGACATATAGAGATGCTACGTGTTTCCTTCCATTCTGTGCCAATAACAGAGGACATCCTGAATCGGGGGTTCTGTTATTGAGAGAGAGAGAGAGAAGGGGAAAAGAAGGAAAAAAAGAAAAAAAGGAAAAAAAAAGAAAGAACGCATGTGTACCTAGTAGGGGACGTGACAGAATCGGCAGGTCGGTGTCCATCGCAACAAAATGGACAAAAATATTGACACGAACTCCCCCCGGCGGACCTTATACGAGAACGTATACCGAAGGAAGAAGAAATAGTCTGAAGGAATCGAACCCATGCCATCCATCCATCAATCGTGAACGCCGTCAAAGTAGTAAGAGTATATATAAGATGTAAGAAGAGGGGAATGAGATTCTGTCAGTTGTCCGAAAACGGATCATGCCCAGGTCGAGACGAGTCATGGAGTTAGCCCGAGCCACCCAACGGGGTTCGAGGTGGGGCTGTACAAAGAACGAAGTAAGGTACACTACTGGGAACGTGCCCAAAAAGAAGCAATGACGAAAAAGGAACGAGGGGTATTCGTTTCGGTGACGGTTGGCTGGTCTTTGAGACCAGTTGAAAAGGAGGAGAGGTTTGACTCTTTTGAGGCTGTTGGAAGTTTGCTCTTTGAACGATCTGATCGGTAGGGTAGTCAATAGCGCACGCTGTGCTTCGAACCGACCGAAGAGGGCTGGGGTAGAAAACTCCCACCTCCTGTGCTACATACTCCGGTGGGCTTGGCTGGGCACCCTTGCTGCCTCCTCAGTCCTCACCATAGGGGTCAACGACACTTGTCCAGGGCGAAAAGACGGGTTCAGAAAGCAAGAAAAGAGACGATGCGATGGGATGCCATGCCATGTCATGCCATGCGCGACCAATGCTATGTTATGTTATGCGAGGGCGACGCGGGAGCGGGAGCGGAACCTGAAGTGGGTGGATGCAGGTGACCGCTGGTACCTAAATCAGTCCCAGGTACGGATATAACTGAGCACATTTGAGGGAGGGGAAAGATGAGCCAGAGAGGAGACGACGATAACACTTTTTTTTTTCTTTTTTTCTTTTTCTTTCTTTTTCTTTTTTTTTCTTTTTTTTTCTTTTTTCTTTTTAGGATGCGTCCCTTTGACCCAAGGAAGATGCCACTCCAAGGTATACCTGCCCGCGCAAGATAAGACGGGCGATGATGCGTTCTGAATTGATTCGCCCGCTCCATAATCTCACGGGTTGGTTGGTCGAGGCAACCGGAGAAGGAAGAGAGACAGTCCTGGTAGTGGTGGTGGTCAGGCAGTAAGCGATGAAAGACTGAAGGCCGGTGCACGAAAGGTGTCGAGAGGGGAATTGTCATCATGAATCAGCGAATATCATTGTATGCTAAGAGTGAACACAGCGGCGGATGAAGCCGAATCTCATAACCTTCATTTTGGTCTCTTTGCGATATTTGCGCCTGCCGTTCGGCGTACATCGTACAGCATTCAAAATGTCGCCTGTCAGGGAGGACGAAGTGGTGAGAGGGCTTGGGACGAAAACGGGGCTTTGCGTTATGAGTTGTCGAGATGCACTGTGTACAGTTATTGTGGTACCTAGTTGTACGAAGTACAAGTGTGGACGGTGTGTTTCCCCGCCAAGTGCCAAGTGGGGAAGACGGCCCAAGCTCCAATTGATATACGAATACGTACCTCCTGGTAGGTAAACGTACGGGCTGGTCTGACGTAATTACCTTACCGTATTGCTTACCTTAGTGGATCGTCCGGACTCCCCAGGTTTTAATCCGCCGGGGTGTTGTGACCTCGATCGCTGTTCCACGCCGAATTTGTCATGGAATTACTCCGTGTCCGTAGTTTTACCCTGGATGTCACGAGAGGTAATTATCACCTTTATAAATTATAATAGTCTTACTAGTGCTAATCCTCACAAAGCCGGACAGCAGGGGCCGCGGCCCGCATGGTTCTAACTTCTGGGAGTCGGGAGTCGGGAGTCGGGACGCAGGTTGCAAGTCACCGAACCAATTCCCAGTTTTTTCCAGGTTGATAACGGCTTACGACTGGTACTAGCCCAATGTCTCGTACCTCGTGCCTGGGTTACCCTTTCCCCTGTCGAGCACACCAGTGACCAAACATACAAAGTACCAGAGACACAGGGGTGACGGATGGGCATGTACACAATGTACAAAGCAGACTCTGGGCCATGGCAGGAAGAAGTTGAGAACCAGGGCACATAAAAGGTGGTCAGAGCATCTGTGGTCACTACCCGTGTCATCCCCATGGTGCCTTGCCCCTACCTTCATGGGAGGTTTAGTTGGTCCAGGGTGTTCCATCTGCCATCGATCGCTTACACCGCTTGTTAGCTGCGCTTACCCAGACCACGTTATACGGCAGTCCTGTGACTCCTGTCATCAATTCCCAGCCTCATAGGCTATGGCTAACACCTTAGGTACTCATAGCCTCATCCTTATGTTCGTGGAATCCAACCTTCATATCCCTCCCTCCTTGTCGATCCATCATCCATGATGCTGACTGGATGCTTCAGCCTCGAACGTTGGTCCATCAACGTTGATCAACATATTCCGACGATGTCAGCCTGTCAGGATTCGCCGTCTCCATGAATGTCCTGGCTCTCCCGAGTCCCCGCCGGTCAAACAGGCCAATGCCAGGTGAGTTCACCAGTATCCCTCCGCACTGTGTTGGATTGACCACAGAGACGACCAAGAACTTCGCGTACCTCGATTCCCTCTGTGACTTGAGACAGGGGATGACCCGGGAGGCATCGGGTGAGCCCCGGCCCTTACTCCCATAGAAGCATGTTCGGATCTGCAGCCCCGTCCACCTCGCAGTGGATATAGCATATAGCATACATGAGAGAGCACGTGAAGACAGGCACCGTATCAAAACTGGAGAGGCTTGCGCGGCAGCTACTGCCACCGTCATATTCTTGGGGGGGCGCCTGTACCGGTCTCATTGGCCTGTAAACCGTAGTCGTACTTGTGTCGTCCAGGAGAATGGCCCCTTGTCGACGGAAGAGGAGATTACATGTCGTCGTCGTACAAGGGAACGCTCGGAATCCTGGATGAGCCGCAGCGTCGAGACGCGCACAAGTGACAATACGCCTTCCCTCCATCCTGCAGGAGCCAAAAATGGGTGGCACCTGAGCACCGGGTCCCGTCGGTTATCTGGAATCCTTGACGTGGCAGCGCCCACGAGCCGAAAGACCGGCCCAGCCCGCTGCGGAAGTATGCATCCTACTCTGCGCAGTACGTAAGGTGAATCTGCCGCGCCAGGGCGCCATGCCGGGGTCTACGGGGAACAGTAACTTGAGCCTGGAGCCTCTGTGACTGTGTCACCGTGTGCCAGCAGGAGGTATCAGATTGCCTACAATGTAAGTTGAAGAGAAAAAGGAGGGGGAAAAAAGAAGAAGAAAAACACATGTCCGAAGCCCTTCAGTTACATCGTCCAGTTCGGGTAGGATGGCTACGATGGCATGTGCATCGACTGGGAGTTCTAGCAACAGACTCCGTCCGGTCCCCACGACTACCCTACGGACCACCACATTGGGGAGGGGGGGCTGCACAGAAGGGAAGCAGACTTTGTGCCAGTAGACCAAACTTTAAGGATGGAGCCCACCAAAACGACGAGTCATCCGCGTTCTAGATGTTGATCTGAGAGCTCATTTCCAAGGCATGCTCCTGTGGAGGATGTCATCTGGTGACGGCCAACCTGAATCATAATGCAAGTTACTCGCCACATCGGAAGAAAGTGTGAGGAGGCTATCTGCGATTTTGTATTCGATTCATGTTGGATGGGTATTGAAAGGTATTTCTCTCGATTTTACTAACAGAACGTTGCTGTGGAATGTAGCTGGAACACCCTCAGCGTCATTAGGGGCGTTTGAACCCGTTCCTGCATTGACCGAACGGACGATGAGAACCGCGGATGCTTGTCAGCACATTTCAAAAAGCTGTTGGTCGCAGGGATCGTGAGACGAGGTCAGTTTAGAAAATGGCAGAAGTAGTAGTAGTAGTAGTATTCTTTAACGTCTGGAGATCTCTGAAAAGAGCAAAGGACGCAGAAAATGGCAGAAGTATCATGATCAATGCAAGTTTTCTCATCTCCTGTAACGCCTGACCAGATAGATACCAGTTGCTGAGTTTTTGACCGCCGTCTAACCAGGACGCCAGGAAACAACGAGGAAAAAAAAAGAAAAGAGACAGAAATATCCAACAGAGAACGATAAAAGCATATGGATAGAGAAGTAATTTCTACCAGGGGACTGGGGAGTGTGCCGGGAGTTGTTGCCTGGCAGCAAGAAAATATATCATGTCGTATAAAGGACGACTCAGGGGCCGAGAAACCTTCGGCTGGTTCCAGTTATATCAAATGTCCAACATGCTCCTCACGCGCATTGGATGTACAGCAGCGGGCGGCGTGACCGTCTCGTTGCCAGGAGTAGTCCTCTCGACCGCACCGGACACATCTGTAGCGGTCTGCGGCTCCCGCAGCCGAGGAAAATCCGACGGGAACGGGGGCGGTGCAGGCCCCTCCCGCATAGCCTCTGCCCGACGGGCGGCCTGTGCCTCCAGCTCGGCCGCCCGTCCCTCGGGACTAGGGAAGAGAACCCCGGCAGCAGCGGCGTTGCGTACCCGCTCCACCCTGCGCCTTTCGGATTTCCCCGCGTAGGCGGCGGAAGGCGTAGTAGTAGGGACGGATTCCTTGGACATGGCGACGAGGCCGGCCCGGGAATCCTGCCGGGCTACCACCGGCGAGTCTGCTCCTGCGTCGGCCGTGCCGATGGTGTTGTTACTCTGGTGGTAGCCGTTGCCGTTGCCGTTGCCGCCCGGAATGTCGGAGGGATCGTGCTGCCACGAGGCGTTGACGCGGCGCCACCAGGCAGGTTTGCGGACGACGCCCATCTCTCGGTCCATTTGTTCTCCGCGCCGGCGGCGCTGGCGGACCAGCTCCTTGTCCTCGTTGGGCGTGCGCAGGCCCCATACGATCTGGATGACGAGGATGAGGAGGGTCGGGCCGTACCCGCCCGCGTAGATGGAGGCGAGGTTCCCTCCGGCGTTGAGGATGGAGTTGGGGAAGGAGAAGGAGACGAAGACCTGGAAGCCGACGATGACGAGGGCGAGCGGGAGGATGAGGCGGAAGCGGAGCGGCGTGGAGCGGAAGAGACCGCGGGCTTTGTTGACCCACCCGCGGTTCCGGGGTTTGTAGTGGCGGAGGGAGTGGCGGAGGGAGAAGACGACGGTCAGCCAGCAGACGAGGAGGCAGAAGGAGGCGGCCTTGAAGCGCGCGTCGGTGGCGGCGGGAGCGGCGCGGGCGGCAGCCTGGTCGGGGTCCCGCTGCAGCTGGATCTGGCCCCAATTCCGCGGAAAGACGAGGAAGAAGTTGAGCCAGAGCCACAGGTAGAACCACAGCGGCAGCCAAAACTCGACGCGGGAGCGGCGGTCGTGGTCCGGGAGGATGAAGGGGTTCGGGTCGACGAACTGGCGCTCCTGCCAGCTGCCCCAGTGGCGGACGGCTTCCCAGGCGAGGGCGAGGGCGCCCTGCTGCATGAGGAACCAGAAGAAGGAGGTGAGGATGATGGGAAGGCCGACGACGCGGAAGCGGTCGACGTCGACGGTGGTGAAGAGGCTCACGAAGGCGGTGGCGACGACCCAGATGGCCCAGTACCACTGCCAGCGGCGGCCCACGGGGCGGAAGCGCTTCTCGGCGGGGAGGTGCAGGCGGCCGTGCTTGTTGAGGTTCACGAGGATGCCGATCAGGCATAGGCCGTAGGCCACGGCGAAGGCGACCCCTGCGGCGGCGCGGGAGCCGATTGGATCGACGGGCTCGTAGCACGAGGTGGCGTTGATGAAGGTCCCGTTGGAGAGGAGCTCGACGGGGGTGTAGGGAGGAGGGGTGAGGTAGCAACGAGAGCCGTTCGAGAGCGTCCCGTTGGTGTAGAGGGTGTAGTTCCACTCGCGGAGAGTGGTCAGGTTGAAGTGGACGTCATGGATGGCCGTGTCGCTGCTATTTCGGCCGTTGGGGAAGGGGATGAGGTCGCGAGGCAAAAGCATGCTGGCGGAGGGAGTGTCGAGGGGCCAGCGACGGCCGTAGTTCGACGTTGGATCGGCTTTGGGGGGGGCCAAGCAATGGCCAAGAACCGGCCAAGCCTTGGGTCTGGGCAAGAGAACTGGGGTTCGTCACGGAGAAGAGGGGCCGAGATTTCGAGAATGATTGTTTATCATCACATTATAGAGAGACAATGAGGACGGAAAAAGAAGAAAAAAAAAATGAAGCAATGATGGTTGGGTTGCAGGCCCATGGAAAGAATAAAGGGAAGAAGCTATGCAAAAAGTATTGGAGAAAAAAAGGTGAATGAAGGCGACTGCAATGATGATGTTGTACCTAGGTACCGGATGTTTGCGGGAATTCTCGATGTGGGGTTTCCGGAGAGAACGGAAATAAGTGGGAAGTCTCGAACGGTCTTTGGGCGTTTCCTCGTTTTAACGTGGGGTGGGAATATCCTTACCAAGATGACTAAGAGTAAGGTATTTGGTCTCAGCCACCGTCTGTAGGTACCTTAGACTAGCGCCACAGCTAGCCACAACGGAAACAAGCACAGTCAGATCCACCAAACCAAACCAAAAAAACAAGGGGGACAAGACGGAGACATCTTGACCGAACAATGAGCAGCACAATGTCCTAGTCCAACAGTAAACGAATCCAGAAATCAATCAATGGCCCATCTGCACCAACCAATTCCAATCAACAGCCCGTAATGACGACCGAAGAACAGGAACCATCCTATATCGACTACGAGGCCTTCCTCTCCCCCGACTTCAACCCTGCCGCCTTTGCCAACTCTCTCGTCCTCTCCACCAACAACCCCAACGACACCCCTCTCGATCTCTCGACCCCGCTATCCCGAGTCCTCTTCGACATTCAGGAAGTCGACTCCCACATCGATACCCTCACCACCAAAAATGCCATCCCGCTTCTCGAGTTCACCCGGGAGCAGAACGAAGCGAGCAAGCGGATCACCTCGGAGCTCGACACCCAGATCCAGTCGCTCAACGACAGCTACAAGCAGCTCGAAAAGGAGGTCATAGATAAGCATGCCGAGGCAGACGAGGTCCGGAATGTCGCGATGCGTCTGTGGGAGACGTTACGGCTCGGCCGCTCCGTCAGTCGCTGTCTACAGCTGGGCCGCCAGCTCCAAGTCCAGCACGCGGAGGTAGCCGGCTCGAACCCCAGCACAGCGGCAGGGTCGGCGGCAGGGTCAGCGGCAGGGTCAGCGACAGGGCCAGCGACAGGGTCAGCGACAACAACGGGCGCGGCGGGGAAGAAGGAGGACCTCAGGGCGTTGATCCGCTGCGCACACACCATCCTCTCCCTGCGGGAAGTGCTCGACGCCACCGGCCCGGGCGAGGAAGGCCACGGGCTGGACCGAATCGACGCGATCCGAAGCCTCAAGGAAGGGGTCATGGCCCCGCTGGCGCGTTCCGTGCGCGACACGGCCGAACGCATCCTCCGCGACTTCTCCGTCCCGGAAACCGCCACCTTCATGCAAGCCGAGGAGACGCGGGCGCGCACCGTCGCCGCCATGACGGTCCTCTTCCTGCTCTCCCCGACCCCGACCCCGGCGGCGGCAGCGAACGCGAACGCGAAGCCCGAAAAATGGACGCCCGCGCTCCTCCTGCAGGCGCTCGAGACCTACCTCCGCACGGCGCTCCAGTCGTCCATCGCGTCGCTGTCCCGCGCGCTGGGCCAGCTCCCCACCCTGGACCGCGCGCTCGGCGAGATCGCGGCCCGGTGCCGGAACATCGTGGCTCTCGAAATCGTCCTGGCGGGGGCGAAACCGCCGGTGCACCCGCTCGTGACGTCCGAGGACGGGATGCCGAGGCCGCAGGGGCCCAGCATGCTGCAGCCGCTGCTGGCGCATTTCGAGACGGGGCGGCTCGCGTCGTATTTTTGGCGGACTATGGCGAGTAGTCTTGGCCCGCGGGTGCAGGAGATCATGGCGCGCGGGGGCGTGTCGGCGAGGACGCTCAGGTCGAATCGCCAGCATGTGGGGGATATGATACGCGAGTGCGTCTACAAGGGGTGTCGCGCTCCTGGTGCCATGAAGGGGAATGGGGAGAGCGGCAAGGAGGGTGGGTGGGATAGGGAGGTTGCTGTCATGGTTGGGAGTGTGATGAACAATATCGGCAGGTGATGGAAGTTACTTTCACTCGTAGACATACATGCACATCAGGTTCATGAGCCGGGTTCTCTAATAAGGGGAGCTGTCTCGGGGTTGCTGTTCAAGCTTTGAAAAGGAGGCCGGATGCCTTTAGGATACCTACCCTATACCTACCCTATACCTACCCTATACCTACCTTATACCTACGGTACTGCTACAGCGTACAGGGGAGAAATCGGAGGACATGAACTGCACAACCCCTCATAACCCAACTGTCCCTCCCCAACCATACCTAACCTCTCACACCAGAGGAACATCGTGAATTGAAGCCAGATGGTCCGAGTGTAACGTAGGTACCTTAGTGAGTGACTTGGGCGAGTCCAAGGAGGAAACGGTCCTCGAATAAGGCGCGTTTCTTGTTTCTTTCCCGCAGGTCTTGATCTTGATATTGTTGGACAAAGTAGGGGGGCCAAGTAATTAAATTAAAGAAGAGCCTCAGTGTAACGTGAGCGTATTCCCGCACAAGGTGTGCAACATCTAGGAATGAATCTGGCACTGTTAATATAGGCGGGAGTACATAAAGGCATTTCTTATCGCGAATCTTCGGAAGTCGTCCCCGTTACATGTTACACAAGCCAGCAACACACCTTATGCCCCTCCTCCCGTGCTTTTTGTTGTATGTACTTCGTACCCAATTCTAGGGCCTGAAACAACTTGCCATTCAGATAGGTACCCAATACGATGCTGAGTAGGGCAGAGCTACCCGTAGGTGTACGTACGATGGATTCAGGCATGGCACAAGTCAGGACTTATATGACCGATTAAAACTCAGGAACCCCGCTATTGAGCAACTCTGCCATTCCCATTGTATCGTAGCGCGGTGAATCGACGTACAGAAGTGGTCGAATGATTACGTTGTAGTGCCTACGTACCTTAGGTAGCTTTCTTTCTGCATAAGGTACCTTACCTTACCTTAATTTCCCCTCTATAATTCAGATCTTCCAGCCGATTCCCCCCAAATCCCACGATCCATCACTCTCGCAACTCTTGGCTACCGATGGATCATCGTTCCGCCTATCCCACGATTCCCACCGCTTCCCATAAAAGACTCATCTACCATCGAATCCACCCTACCTGTCGACCAGATATCCCCTACGGACATGAAAAAGGTACGTGTACGTCTTGCATTGCCGCTGTGACTCGTACAACGTATTATGTCTGGTTTTCTGCGGCCTTTTTCCTCGTACGAGCTTGCTGCTTCCCTCCTCCCCTCCCCCCCCTCTTTCTCCTTTCCCACCCACGCCCGGTGCTACCCTGCACCGACTGTTTCCTCCCCCCCACCCCACCCCACCCCTTTCTACCCAGGCCGTCCGTCCCGAATGAATGGCATCACGTCCGGCGGTTGGACACTGGTAGAAGTGGATGGAAGCACGGCGTCGCGTCGGTCGAACCGCGGGGACTCGTTCTCGAGTAAACGGAGTTGCGGAGCGAGTCGGAGCAAAACGACCGCACGCACGCACAGGGGGATCACCACGTTTTGTGGCACCCACATTCGACTGGACCATGGACAAGCGCGGAAAGAGTGAGACTTGCGTTGGGTTGCATGGGCGTCCCGAGAGAACCGACGAGACGGCCTTTTTTCCCTTTTTTTTTTTTTTCTTTTTTTCTTTTTTTCTTCTTTTCTTTTTTTCTTCTCTTTTCCCCCATGGGTCTCTCTCGTGCCTCGTCGGCCTGCGTTGCTCGTCCACCTTTCCCTTTCCCTTGTCCAAGGTACCCGGCACTAGACGATATTAAACCCAAGGAACGGCCAATACCAGCTACTCCTCGTACTTTGCTGTTGAACCAAAGTCGATTCAACCTCCTCTCATCATGCAGGGCCAATCATCGACCCGCGGCATGCGCACCGAAATAACCAAAAGAAAATCCGATTTGGACGTCACATCCCTGTCAAGTGTCAACGTCGTCCACCAAATAAACGCACGTCAGCGAGTCTCCCGAACAGGGATCTTAAAATTCGCAGGCAACTCGGGAAGCCCCCCAATGGCTATTTCAAATTTGGACCATGACGAACATCTTACCGAAGCCCCCTGGAGAAGCATGTTTTCATATGGCCCGCAACGACAAGAGATGGACGAACCATGAGAAATGCAACGAGGTGGACGAGATGGGAAAGGAAAAGGGGGAGGGGTCCTGACCTGCCTGCCCCTCCATGATGCAACACCGATCTCTCTCCCTTTTATCTGGGCTCGCTCTGAGCTCTGAGCTCTGACGTACAAAGTACTTGGTATACACAAACACCCCCCATCGGACCTTTTCTCATTACCTAGTCAATTCCTTCCCACACCCCCAAAGTCTTGTCTCGACCCTCGCAGTCCCTCGCAGTTCTCTTCTACGTGTACCTTACCCACCTCCCGGACCGCCAACCAGCTTGGCGCTGCCCCTCGGATCTTCATAACTAAGCATCATCCGTTCGTCATCCCGTCCTACACTTTACACCGTCAGCTCGTCAACTCGTCAAGTCGTACACGTACATACTTCGTCCTGTGGTTACTCATTGATACATTCTACATTTGATTCTTTCACGCCCCTCGGTTTCGCCTTGCTCTTGCTAGAGCTACGTCCCCCCCTTACAACGTACCTGGTACTTTACCCTTTTTTTAAGGCGCTTTCCCACCAGGTTAGGACGACACCAGTTTGCAGATTCCCCCTCCCTTCCCCTGGAAAAGCACGAAAATTTTGATTTTCCGTGCCACTTTTCCATCCTTGCGTCATATACCCGCTTCTCCTGGTGCCTGGGCTGTTTTTACCGTCTCTTTGGTTCTTTTTCTCACATTTTGCCTTTGCCTTACATTTTTACCTTCACCGACTATTCCCTTGATCTTCAAGTTTCCACCTCCCCTCCCTTTTTTTGGCCCTCACCTCCTCTCCCTCACCTCCTCCCTCAACGCCCACCGCTCCTTGGATAGTCGGGTCTGTTTATCGTTGACACCGGCATCATGGCGCAGAATCCCGACGAAAGAAGGCCCGACGCGGCCTCGGCCTTCCCTGACGGCTCTGACTCTAACGACCCGACTCCCGCGAGCCCCGCCCCTCGAGCCGGTATCCCCAACGCCGACGAACCTTGCGACGACGAACCACGCACTCGTGTCGCCGCCGAGGTTGACGCTGCCACCCCAGGCATCGCTCTTTCGACCTACCTACCGCCAGACCCCGAAAACTCCGGCTACTTCTTCCGGCCCCCCAGCGTCGGCCCTCCACGTACTCCCGCCGCCGCCGCCGCCGCCGCCTCCTCCTCCTCGCAGGCTCGCAACCTCCCGTCCCCAGCCCTCCCAGTCCTCCCGTCTCGAACACCCAGCCAGCTTCCCACCACACCCGGTGACCCCGTAATCCACAACCTCCGCCGGAAGAATCTAATCGCTGCAACCATGAACAGACGGCAGTCCATCTCCGACCTTCGCACCGCCCATCCCAACCTCAACCTGAACGGCAATGTCATCTCTGCCACCTTTACCATTCCTGTTGCACCTCATTACCGCAAGGGCGCCGATTGGGTTAGTATCACCACTGTGTTGCGCTCGCTTGTCTTTTTTTTTTTTTTTTTCCTCTCTCCTTTTTGCTCTCCCCACTTCTCTCCTTTCTCCTCCTACCCCCCCGTTCATCCTGTTCGTCGGCCAACCCCGCTAACTTGAGTCCTTTTTGTACAACCTCAGGATTTGAAACCCCGCCGTGGCCAATCCGCCCTGCTCGACTCCTTCGCCTACCTTTCTTCCGAAAACACGCCCTGGAACCATACCGTCGTCGCTTGGACCGGCGAGATCGACGAGGCTCAAGATGTTCCCTCTCCTCCGGGCACCCCGCCGAGATCGACCATCCACACCGCCTCTCTGAATAGCCTCTCCGCTCCGATCCCCGTCGATACCGATACCCGCCTACCCACTCCCCCCATCTCCGATGGTCTCTGGGTGTCCAAGGAGGACCAGCACCGCCTGGAAGAACAACTCGCCCGCGGCACGAACATCAAGACGGTGCCCGTTTGGCTGGCCGACGACCACGAGTCGAAAGAGGACGGCATCCGTCTGAAAGACCAGTCCCGCTGGAGGCGCTATGCCGAGCACGACCTCTACACCCTCTTCCACTACAAGCAAAACGAGCCGTCCGATGGTCGCAGGGAGCGCATCACCTGGACCGACTACTATCGGATGAACCAAAAGTTCGCCAACAAGATTGTCGAGCACTACAAGCCCGGCGACATCGTCATCGTCCACGACTTTTACCTCATGCTGCTCCCCAGCATGCTGCGCCAGCGCGTCCCCAACATGTACATCGCCTTCTTCCTGCACTCCCCTTTCCCGAGCAGCGAGTTCCTCCGGTGCCTGCCGCGTCGCAAGGAGGTGCTCGAGGGCGTCCTGGGCTCGAGCCTGGTCGGCTTCCAGTCGTACAGCTTCTCGCGCCATTTCTCCAGCTGCTGCACCCGCATTCTGGGATTCCCCTCCGACAACAACGGCGTCGACGCCTACGGCGCCCGCGTCCAGGTCGGCGTCTTCCCCATCGGCATCTCCGCCTCCAAGTGCGAGTCGTACGCCTTCTCCGATGCCGTCACCGAGAAGTACCGGGCCCTGAAGAAAACATACCAAGGCAAGAAGATCATCGTGGGCCGTGACCGCCTCGACAGTGTCAGGGGCGTCGCCCAGAAGCTTCAGGCCTTCGAACGCTTCCTCGAGATGTACCCGGAGTGGCGGGAGAGGGTGGTGCTCATCCAGGTCACGTCGCCCACCGTCACCGCCGAACACGAGGACACCGAGAAGGGCATCGCCACCCGCGTCAACGAGCTCGTCATGCACATCAACGGCCTGTACGGCAGCTTGGGCTTCTCGCCGGTCCAGTACTATCCCCAGCACCTCAACCCGGAAGAGTACTTTGCCCTGCTCCGCGCCGCCGACATCGGCCTCATCACCTCGGTCCGCGACGGTATGAACACCACGAGTCTCGAGTACATCATCTGCCAGCGCGAGAGCCACGGGCCCCTCATCATCTCCGAGTTCAGCGGAACCGCCGGCACGCTCCGGGACGCCATCCACATCAACCCCTGGGACCTGAACGGCGTGGCTACCGAGATCAACAACGCGCTCGTCATGCCCGGCGAGAAGCGCATGGCCATGCAGGACAGCCTCTACAGTCACGTCAAGACGCGCAACGTCCAGAGCTGGATCGACCACCTGCTCAACCGGCTGGTGCACGTCCTGTCCAAGGAGAAGAACACCAGGACGATACCGCTGCTCGACCGAGCGCTCCTGCTGCAGACCTACCGGGACGCGAAGAAGCGGCTGATCATGTTCGACTACGACGGCACGTTGACGCCGATAGTCCGCGAGCCCAGCGCGGCCACGCCATCGGAGAGTTTGCTGCAGACGCTCACCGCGCTGGCTTCGGACCCGACGAATGCCGTATGGATCATTTCCGGTCGCGACCAGGAGTTCCTGTCGCGCCACCTTGGCCACATCTCCACTCTCGGGTTCAGCGCCGAGCACGGCAGCTTTATGAAGGAGCCCGGTTCGGAAAAGTGGATCAACCTGGCAGACAAGTTCGACATGGGGTGGCAAGCCGAGGTGATTGACGTGTTCCAGAAGTACACAGACCGAGTACCGGGTAAGAGACCAAAGAGGGAGAAGGAGAGAAGGAGAAAAAAAAAAAAAAAAGAAAAAAAACCAAAGAGCTATCAGATGGCTAGATGGCTAACCAAACAACCAACCCACAGGCGCCTTCATCGAACGCAAGAGATGCGCCCTCACGTGGCACTACCGACTCGCCGACCCCGACCAAGGCGCGCACATGGCGCAGGAGTGCCAGAAGGAGCTGCTGGAGACGGTGGGCAAGAAATGGGACGTCGAGGTGATGGCGGGCAAGGCCAACCTGGAGGTGCGGCCGACGTTCATCAACAAGGGCGAGATCGCCAAGCGGCTGGTGGCGACGTACAACGGCAAGGCGGAGGCGGACGGGTTGGCGGCGGGCAACGTCGAGTTTGTGCTCTGCCTGGGCGACGACTTTACCGACGAGGACATGTTCCGGGCGCTGAACGGGCTGCCGGAGGAGGAGGTGGCGCGGCAGCACGTGTTCGCGGTGACGGTCGGGGCCAGCACCAAGGTGACGCTCGCGCAGTGGCATCTCCTGGAGCCGTCGGACGTGGTGGACTGCGCGGCGCTCCTGGCGGGGGTGGGGCCCGGCGGGGACAGCCACCAGCACCAGGGGCAGGTGAACTTGGCTGCGCTGAGTACGGTCGAGGGACAGATTCCCGAGGGGGAGAAGTATTAACTTTTTTTTTTTCTTTTTTTTTTTTTTTTCGAGACGATCGCGAGAAAAAAAAAACCCATTCAAACACGACGAAAGGCACTCCGGTTTCGCTAGCAGATGTTGGGGGCGGGACGAGAAAATCCAAAAGAGAAACAAAAAGAAATGCACGACTTGGAGAATCATATCAGCGTTGGAGACTTGGAGTATAATATGGACGGACAGGTGCTAGTGGACGGGGCAGGTTCTCTGTGTGTCTCGGCAGAAATCATGGGTCTCAACTTTTTACCGCTGCTCTCGCTTGCTCTGGGGCCGACTCTTGGATTTAGTTATTATAGACGGGCCGGCTCATTTTAAATATACTAGATGGCCATTCCTTTTGCGGCGTGCGCACAGCGGATTCCCGGAGTGTTTTGGTCAAGACGGGTTTGAGACGTGGTGACAGTAATAAGACAGAGCTAGATCACCCATGTCCTATATAAATGGCGTCTCGAGTGGTCTATGTCGTCGAGGACTGGTACAGTTCCCGACGTCCTGGGTCGGTCAGGCTGGGCTGTCCGCTGTCGATGGTGCCCGCCCAGAGAATCTCATGTGGCACAGATAGGGGTTTACCACTGCCTCTTTATCAACTGGAGTTCCCCAAAATGATACGACCTTTGCAGGACTAGTATGGGAGGGCAGGGCTAGCACACGATGACCAAGTGGTTTGTCGGGTGCGTAAAGCGTTGTGGTCATGTCGACGAACTTGTGATCAAGATTCGAGATTGGTTGGTGAGAAGTCGTGGACGTCCAACGTCTAACTAACACTCGACGTCCCACGTCATCATGGCGCTTCCATGCCAAACGGATATAACACCAGGTATTCCATATCCTGGAGGTCAGAACTTGTGTTTGGTGTAGGTTGAAACTATGGCTCACCGTCTGGGACTAAGCTCTGCTAGATGTCACCGAGTTGAGTAGTAGCATAGGGTCCCATACACCGTTTCATTGGTTCGTGACGAGTCTATCACGAGAGACAACGTGTTGAGGTAGGGTGGGTAGTATGGTCTTTCACATTCCCACGTATCAAGGTCGTTAGCATAGTGCTATTTGAGTATAGCATGGAATCATGGATACCTGGCACAGTCCTTCCCCTTTACACGTCATGTGAAAGGATTCCAAGAGCCTGGGAGGGTGCGACGGACGCTTGGATAAGAGCAACGAGTTGATAAACCTGAGATGGCTTCCATGTTGATGTCTTTATTCTAGCAAGTCGGCAGACACATCACACACCCCTTGGGCCCTCAGACAGCCTGCACATATCCGAAAGCCATGCCATTGCTCCGAGGACTTGAACTTCCCCTCGCCGGAATTCTCCTTGTGATCACACTATGTCTCGTTCGTTCCTCCACCCAAGAACCGTCTTGACAGTTCGACTGACGGATAGGAGTCTATCGTTCACGTCCTGCGGAAGAGCACCTCCCGTATTCCAGGGCCTTGGTACACGATGTGGACAGACGTCGTGCTCAGATACAACATGTTCTACGGCCGACGAGGCCAATACGTCCACAAACTCCACGCAAAATACGGTACAAAACTCCATCCCTCTTCCTTTTCCCCACCTAACATGCACCTACCTGCCTGCAGGCCCCGTCGTCCGCATCGGCCCCAACCAAGTCGACATGACCGACATGCAAGCCTACAAGACCATCTACTCGACGCGCGAAGTCTTCCTCAAGTCGCCCTGGTACAAGGTCCTGACGGGGAACGTCGTCGACGCCATGTTCACCACGTCGGATCCGCACCACCACCGGCGCATACGGCGGCTCTTGTCGGCGCCCCTTTCCGAGGCGGCGCTTGCGTCCAGCCATGCGCTCTGTCGCAAGAAGGCCGAGCTGGCCGTGCAACGGATGCGGGACGAGTCGCGGGAGAAAGGCGCGGCGGATGTGTATAAATGGTGGATGTTCATGACGACGGATATCATCGGCGAGTTGACGTTTGGGAGGTCGTTTGACATGCTGGCGAAGTCTGAGGTCCGTCTTTCCCTTTTTTTTTTTTTTCCTTTTTTTTTTCTTCCTTCTTCCGCGCAGCAGCTTCCTTCCCCTCCCCGCTAACACGACACCGCCTCCCCCCCACGCCCCCAGAGAGACCAGTACGCGATAGACGTAGAAGGCATAGGCCGCACATCGGTCTTCTACACGACCTTCACCCCCCTGCACCGTCTGCTGCGCCACCTCCCCATCCCCGTCGTCCAGCGCGCCTACCGCACAAGCAGGAACCTAGCCTCCTACGCAGACGAGGCCGTAGCGCGCTACAAAAGTCTGGCGGCAGAAGAAGACCCGGGAAAACCCCACAACGACAACGACGACGAAGACGACAACGACAACGACAACCACCCGAAGCTCTTCGAAAAGGTCTTCACCGCAGAAAAACAAGGCGCCATCTCCGCCACCGAAATACGCGACAACGCGCAGAGCTACATCGTGGCCGGGAGCGACACCACGGCCGTGACCCTGACGTATCTCGTCTGGAGCGTATGCCGCGCCCCGCCGCACGTGCGGAGCGCCCTGTTGGCCGAGATGGCCGCTTGGGGCGACGACCCGTCCGCCGAGGACCTCAAGGGCAAGGGCGCGAGGTACCTGAACTGTGTCGTCGACGAGACGTTGCGGCTGTACGGGGCGGCGCAGACGGGACTGCCGAGGCTTGTGCCCCCCGGGGGGGCCGTGTTGGCCGGGTACGGCTTGGATGCGGGGACCACGGTCGAGGCGCAGGCGTATAGTCTGCATCGCGATGGGAGGGTGTTTGGCGACCCCGAGACTTTCGACCCGGGGAGGTGGGAGGGCGCGAGTAGGGAGATGAGGGAGCAGTTGGTGCCGTTTGGGGGAGGGACGAGAGGTAGGTGACTGTGACTTGACTGACTTCCCCCTCAACCTTTTTTTCTTTTTGTCTGTCGGTTCGTGTGCGTGTGGCTGACCTTTGTGACAGCTTGCATCGGCCTTCACCTCGCCAAGATGGAGCTGAGACTGGGGACCTTCCTTTTCTTCCGGACGTTTCCTGACGCTGAGGTGGCCGCGCCGGATGACGAGATGAATATGGAGACCTTCTTTGTGCTGTCGCCCAAAGCTGGACGGTGTCTCATACGAGTGCATTGAGATTGATTGGCATGACGAGATGGACAAGTGTTGGAAGAAAAGAAACTGGAAAATGTCGTTCGTTATTGGCTCTTCACCGGATGCAACGCAATATTGGGTATAAACACCTCCCCGTCCTTCACCGTGAGAACCCTCCTCAGGGTCGGATCGATATCGTCCTCATCGATCCCGCCCCTCATCCAAGTGGTGAACATGTCCTCCGGCCAGTCGCCCGTCCACCACCAAGTGTTCCCGTTCGCGGGCTCCCCCTCCGCGTCGCCCAGCCCCCATTGCGGGTCACTGCGGCCCCATCCGTCCTCGCTGGCCTCGACGCCGCCGCCCATCCACAACGCCCGCTCCGTCTCGTTGTCGGCCCGCTGGAGGTACCACGGCATGGGCGGCGCGCTGAGCTTGAGCCCCATCCAGGCGGCGAACGAAGGGAGCGTGGCCTCGGACGCGATGCGCAGCCCGCGCCGGAGCTGCAGTGCGTGAATGGCCAGGAGGAGGGTCCGGCTGCCCCGCTGGATGGCCGGGGCGCAAAAGAAACGCGGAGTCGAGAGGCCCGCGGCGAAGCCGTAGAACCAGTCGCGGAACACCCAGGTTGTGCTCCGGCGGGCGTCGTCGCAGAGGCCCGTCACCACCACGTCGGCGGGTTCGCCTACACCCCATGTGAAGGCGTCTGCCGGCGAAGTGGTCGGGGGTTTAGGGCCCAGGGGAGGGACCTCGCGGAGGCTGATGGGGCCCCACTAGTGTCTGTCAGTCGGGGTGGAGGGTTGGAGGGCTGGAGGGGGTATTTGGGACCATAATAATAAATACAAAAAAAGAAATCAGAGAAAAAAAAAGAAACTTACGAGATGCGACGACCCCCCATTGGCAGCGTCGACGGCTTCTTGAAACTCGGCGTAGGATGCGTACATAGCAGGATCGTAGAAAAAAGTGGCGCGTTCCATGGCCTGCTTCCGCGGTTCTTGGCGAGAAGAGGCGTCCATGGCGTCGAAGTAGGCGCCAGCATCGCCGGTGAAGCGCATGTCCATCTCGAGCTGCCAGTAGTGGTCGAACTCTGGGTAGTGGAGGGCGAAGAGCTGGACGGGTTGAAAGGCCTGCCACATGACGCTGTGGTCGGTCAGCATGTCTCGAGAAGATGTAGATGGAAGAAGATATATAACGAAAAAAAGAAGAAAAAAGGACAGAGAGAGAACAGAACCCACCCATGCTCCTCAATACGAGGGTACCAGCTCTCGAGAAGCCCCTCGTCCCACAAAACGGCAATGGATTGAAACTCGTTGGGGATCTTCGCTTTTTCGAAAGCCCGCTCGTAGGCCTCGGGCGACGAGAAGATGTTGGACTCGCGGCCGCGGATGTGGACCAACAAGACGACGGCGTACTCGCCGCCCGTGCGCAAGCCGGCCTCGACGACAAGAGACCGCAGGTGAAGCAGGTCCTCGGGCTTGTAGTGGTAGCCGTCGTAGGCGCGGACGACGAGGGCTGTGCGCCTGGTGGGGCTGAACTCGTCCCAGGTCCGGACGGGGGGCACGGTGGTGCGGTTCCTCCAGGCGAAGCGCACAGGCTTGGCGGCGAAGACACCGGGGTCGGTCGGAAAGCGATGGGCGTTTCGTTCGAGACACTGGTTCTGCAGGGCGCCCCAGTCGACGGTGTCCCAGTCGACGCGGCTACGGGAGTACGAGGGATCATCCTCGCCGTAGCCGTAAGGACCGTAGCGGCCATCGGCTGTCATCCAGGTCTGGACCAGACCCAGCTCGGCGTGAGAGCCCGCGAAAGGTACAGGATAGGCTAGTCATATGTTAGGAGGGGCGGTAGACAAGAGACAAAGGAGAGAGGAGGGGCGGCGTACGGATGTCCAAGTCAACGGGCCGCAAGTCGTCGTCCGGACTCTCGGAGAGGAGGTGACGGCGGGGTCCGATGCAGGGGAGGCGGGGTGGAAGTGAGGGTTGCGGCGGCGGGTTCGGCATGCGGGGTCCATAACGGGCGGAGAAGAGGTCGACGGCGTGAAAGGCCCATGTGGTCGGGCCGTTGTCGTACAGGAGGGCGTGGACGAGGACGAGGAGGAGGAAGACGACGGCCACGAGAGACCAGCGAGTGCGGAGGCTGCGCCAGCGCCGCCACCGACGAGTGGGAACGAAGGGAGACCTGGATCGAGAGCCGAACCTTATGGGCGAAGTAGGGGGAGTCTCGGCGATGGTGACATGTTGGAGTGGATGTAGCGAGGCGCGAGAGGGTGAGTGCGTCGAGAGAGCCGAAAGACCCCTGCTACGTCGCCGAGGTTTTCCCAGCATGTAAGCGGGGAAGGGTACGTTGTCTACAAAAGAAAAGAGAGAAGAAGAAATATATGGATATGTATAATCGAGGTGCGAAACAAATACGACCCAGTCAGTGCAAACAAACGAAAGGAGCCGCCAGAAAAGATGTACAGTGAAAAGAAAACGAGGGACGCTAAGAGCGGTTAAAGGGGCCCATTGGGCCTTCGGGGCGGTCGTGAGTTGGGACGATGTGCATAAGACGAGAATAGCGAGGTTGAGTGAGATGTATGAGGTGTATGAGGTGTATGAGATGTATGAGACGCAACTCGGCAAGACAGGTTAGCGAAACGAGAGTGAGGTTCGGCAGTCGGACGAAGAAGTTGGAACAAGAAAAGTGAGAAAAGGGGTTGAAGCTTCAAGGGTTGAAGGGGTGGGGAAGTCGAAAAGAAAGGCCAGATGACCCGGTATTGCGTGGCTCGAGGCTTGGTGGATTTTGTCCTTGGCGATTCGGCGGATCCCTGAACCCTGGCGTCGTAGCGGCGCATGGTGCGCATGGCGATGGTGGAGAGGTCTCCCATTGGGCGGTGGAGGGGAGATGGCCAGAGGTTTTGGGTTGGCGTTCAATTTTCATTTCTTGCCATTGCCCACACCCAACAGCCACAGCCCGAGGCGGAACTGTGTTGTGCCGTGCCGTGCCGTGCTGTGCTGTGCTGTGTTGTGCAATGACATGTAAGCGTGGTGACGGAATTCGGTCGTACAGTCTTGATCCGGTATTGTTCGTCAATGTGATACGGGGGAAGACAGCGGAGCGGAATCAATGCCAGAGGCGACTTGGTGTAGCCGCAACCAAACTGGCCCAGTTGGCCCCTTGACCGAAGTGACCCAATTGACCGAGCTCACCGAGCTCACCGACAGGGCGAGCCAAAGGTGTCACAGGGGTCGAGAGTTGCTGGGTAGCCATGGCCCATGGTTGGTGATGGACTCTTCAAATCGACGAGAGATGTCGAGTGTTAAGCGGCTCATCGTGGAATAGAGAGATGTCGAGAGACGAGAAGATGAGGATGAAGATAAGGAGTCGGAGTGAGAGGAAGAAAGTGGGAGAGGGAAAGGGAGAGAAAAAGGGAGCATCTGGAGTCCTTGACAATACGGAGTACAACGAGTACGGAATACGGGTATGAATGCCTACGAGGAAAGAACAAAGGTCGATTCAGCGATTGAAGGAAGGTACGTAAAGGTACGTACCTCTTTCCAACGTCGTACGTTGCGTTGTACTTCGTATATACCATTGTACTCCGCATATCCACGTGACAGGCGACGTCACCTTGCCGTCTACGAATTTCTAGGCATCTGGGCAAGCGGGAAAAGGTCGGTCAAAAGCCCCGCGCCCCGCGGGGTCGATTACGTACCCCCGCCAAGACGATAGATCGCGGCTTTTCGGTCACCACGTCTGCGCCTTCACCAACAGACCAAAGAACCATGCCTACTCTATCTGAAGGTGAGAGGTCGCTCGGGCCTTCTGTACTGACTCGGACTCTTCTACCGCATACCATACCTCCTTGAACTCTTCGCTCAGTCATTCATCACACAACTCTCAACTCCCACTCCCACCATGGCCGAGTCAGACTCCATTGCCGCCAGCATGGCCAAGCTGAAGCCCTTCAGCCGTGGAACCCGCGAGGATGACACCGACGACGACGGTGAAATGGTCAGCCCAGGTACCCTCGCCGGAGGGGGTCACGCCGCCCGCGACTCCCACATCAAGCACCACCTCCGCGTCAGCCGTGCCCTCAGGGCCTACCTCGTCGAGAAGAAGATCCTCTCCGAACAGCAAGCCGGCGTCGACCTCGACCCCGACGCCTTCACCCCCGACCTGCGCGCTTTCGTCGAGAAGCCGCACATCCGCGTGCCGCCCGAATGCTTCGACCGGTCCCGTCCGCTGCCCGAGTACTTTGTCAGTTCCAGTCATAACACCTACCTCTTGGCCCACCAGCTCTACGGCAGCTCCTGCGCGACCGCCTACGACGAGGTCCTCAAGGCTGGCTGCCGCTGCGTCGAGATCGACGCCTGGGACAACAAGGACGACCCGGACGAACCAAAAGTCACCCACGGTTGGACCCTCACCTCCAACATCTCCTTCCGGGCCGTCTGCGAGGCCATCCGCGACGTCCACGACCAAGAGGCCGCCGACGCCCTGGAACACCCGGACGCCGGAACCGGCTGGCAGCCCGCGCCTATCCTGCTCTCGCTCGAGAACCACTGCGACGCCCACGGCCAGATGCGTCTGGTGCAGATCATGCAGGACATCTTCGGCGACCGGCTCCTCAGCGAGGAGGTCCGCCGCCAGGGCCACCTCGAACAGGCCGGTGCCGGCGAGCACGTCACCCTGGCCGATTTGGGCTCCAAGATTGCCGTCATTGTCGAGTACCACTGGCCCGGCGAGGAGGAGGATGAGTCCGACGGAGGTTCCACCGAGGGCGAGGGCGAGGACGAGGGCGATGACGGCGATGACGACGACGACGACGGGACGGACGAGACGGACGAAAAAGAGGCCCAACGCCGCTACCGCGAGGCCCGCCGCACCGCTGCCCCCTCGGCCCACATCATTCCCGAGCTCTCCGAGCTAGGCGTCTACGCCCAGTCGGTCAAGCCGCGGGACAACTCGTGGTTCGACCCCAGCGGCGGCGCCTTCGTCGGGCCCCACCACCACCTCATCAACGTGTCCGAGTCGGGCCTCCGATCGCACATGCCCGCGCATAACCGCCTCATCGCCGAGCACAACGCCCACCACCTCATGCGCGTCTACCCCAAGGGCACGCGCATCTCGTCGCGCAACCTCAAGCCCGTGCCGTTCTGGGGCTTGGGTGCCCAGATCTGCGCCCTGAACTGGCAGACTTTTGGTGCGTCGATGCAGATCAACGAAGCCCTCTTCAGCGGCACCGACGGGTTTGTTCTGAAGCCTCGCCACCTCCGCCCGGACTCTGGTGCCGATGCCCCCGATTCTCCCGATTCTCCCGACTCGCCCGACTCGCCCGACTCGCGCAAGAAGGACCAGCGCCGCCGGCGCCACCGCCTCCGCCGTCGTCTCCGCCTCCACGTCGCCGGCGCCACCGACGTCCCCATCCCGGCCGGCTCCGAAGCCGCCGACGTCAAGCCGTACCTCACCTGCACCCTCGTTCACCCGAACGACGTGTCGGGCAAGCCGCCGAAGCGCAAGACGTCCCCGTACCGCCAGCACCGCTTCACCAGCTTCCTGTGGGACCAGAACGAGAACCCGCCGGCCACCGACCCGCTCTGGGACGAGGTGCTCGAGTGGGAGTACGACGATGACGACGAGAGCGACCTCGTCTTCCTCCGCATGCTCGTCAAGAGCGATGATAGCTGGGCGACGAACCCCATTTTCGCCGTGGCGGCGGTTCGGCTGCTGTATGTCACCGGCGAGTGGTGTTTCATCCGCATGCTCGACCTCAAGGGCCGGGAGACCAAGTGTTCGGTGTTGGTGAAGATGGAGATTGGGGAGGTGGAGGGTGGGTTGGACAGGTTTTTCCGGAAGTAGGGGGGCCGCTGTATAACATGATCGTATATTATGTTCGTCGACATCTATCATCAATGATTCATCATGCCAGTCATGTCTAGATAGATCAAAAATACCACCCCGATGCTTTTCTTTCGCGCAACTTTTCGTCTAGCCCGTCCTTTATGCAATGGATACCAACGCCAAAAAGAAAGGGGAAAATCAAACATCCTCCATGACCAGGCCGAAAAAAGAGGAAAAAGAAGGAAAAAAGAGAAAAAAGAAGTTTAAAAGGAAAAAAAGAAGGAAAAAAGAAAAAAAAGAAGAAGGAAAAAAGAAGGAAAAAAGAAAGAACAAGAAGAAAAAAGGAAGAAAAGAGAAAGGAGAAAAGAAAAAAAAATCAACTCTCCAAAACATCCCTCGAAAACCTCGACGCCTGCCTCCACCGATGGCCATACCGCATCACCACCACCGGAACCGGCGCCAGCACAAGACTCAGCCCCCCCAGCACCGTAAACGTCCAGCCGTACCCGCCAAACCTCTCCACCATGGGCGCGACGCTCAGCGGGAGGAAGGTGCCCATGAGACACCGCGTGACGATGACGCCCGTCATGGCGGAGGCCGAGTAGGCGCCGAAGGCATCCACGGCGTAGGCCGACAGCGGGATGAAGGCCAGCAGCTCGGTGCAGCCCAGCAGGGCGACGGCGAGGAGGAGCCAGGGGGCGGGGAGGGCGAGCTGGGCGATCCAGCCGTAGGCGACGACGGCGAAGGGGAGGGCGAAGCCGCCGAGGATGGAGAGCGGGAGGCGGAACTCGGGGCGGCCCTGGCCGGTTTTGGACCGGGTGCTGCGGAGGGAGATGTAGATGCGGTCGAGGTAGGCGTTGCAGAGGCCTACTGCGACGAAGGAGCCGAGGCCTGGGGGGTTGTTAGCGGCGTTGTAAGATGAAGAACTGCGGGGGAAAAAAGAAAGGAGACGAAAAAAAAAAGAAAGAAAAAAAAAAAGACTCACTAAAACTCATAAAGGCCGACCCGGTCAAGGCGGGCGAAAACCCGTACACGTCGTGCAGAATGTCGGCGAGGGTGATGGACATGGTGTAAAAGAAGCTAAAGCTGACCGACCCGTACAGCGAAAGCGCCATCAACACCCCCGAACCAAAAAGCACCTCGACCGGCCGCCTGACCGACTGCCAGAGCCCAACGCTCTCCCCGCCGCCGGCCGAAGGGGCGAGGAACACGTCGCCATGCCCCTCGCGACGCAGCTTCCCCACGCGCCCCCGCAAGATGGACACCTTGTACGTCTCGCGGAAGCAGGTGAGAAGAAGAAGCTCGCAGCCGACGGCCAAGCCGACGCCGACCCAGAGGACCTGCCGCCACCCCAGGGTCTGGGCGATGGCGCCGCTGATGGCGGGCCCGACGGCGCCGCCGACGAGGGGGGCCAGCATGACGAGGCTCATGGCCGAGCCGCGCTCGTCGGGGTCGAAGAGGTCGCCGATGATGGCCGGGTTGAGGACGTTGGAGGCGACGGCGAGGCCGGTGAGGCAGCGCGAGGCGATGAAGAGGAGCGGGGAGCGGGCGGTGGCGGCGAGGACGGCGGCGGCGATGAAGAGCAGGTTGGCGGTGTTGAGGACGCGGTAGCGGCCGTGGATCTCGGAGAGGGGGGCGATCAGGAGGGGGCCGGCGGCTTCGCCTAGTTCCCAGATGGTGACGAGGAGGGCGCTGGCGGAGGGGTCGGGGTGGCCCTGGTTGAGGTCGGCGACGATTTGGGAGGCGACGGGGACGACGGAGATGCAGGTGAAGGTGCTGGGCAGGTTAGTGGACGGACGTGGAGTAGCAAGAGTAAGAAATATAATAAAAAAAAATAGAAATAGAACGAGAAGAGAAGAGAAGAGAAGAATGGCCTGCCACTTACACGGTAAAGGCCATGCATGCGAGCAACGACACGATGGTCCACTTAAAGGCCGTCGGCCACTCGCGCGGGTTTTCCGGGTCGCCATTGGGATCGAAATCGACCAGATGCTTCGAGGTCAGATTATCATGGACGCTGCCGTTCTCGTTCTCGTTGTCATGGTCCTGGTCATATCGTCGGGTGGTTTGGGGGTCCCCGAGTAACGGCTGGCGTTCGGACATGGTGCGCGTTTCCACAACGTCTTTTTCCCTTGTGTCGTGTTGTCTGGTTCCTCCCACAGAGAAGAAGGGACATGGAGGGAGGAAAAAGGTTGGGATAGGTGAAGTTTTCGTATTCATATTTTTTGATAATTTTTCTTCTTTTTTTTCTTACCCCTGCCCCCGCCACAACCCCGGTCCGCTCCCCCCCCTCCCCTCCGCCCTCCGCGCTTTACCGAGACCAAGACCGAGCCCACGCAACGAGACCAAGTCCAAGATAAGCTTAGCTCGTACTTGCAAGGGCGCACTTGTCAGAGCGTCCAATCATTCGAGTTCTCTTGACATATAAAGGCGTGGGTTGGTGGGTTAGTGAGCACCAAGCGCCCTGTTGGCTTTCCGAGCATCACTAACACCGCTTCTCTTGGGCCTCTTCGGCGGACCGAAAGCTGTAGAAGAGCGGAGCATGTTCGCCACAACCCGAAGTATTGCCCTTTCGCCTGCAGTTTTGATTGGTGACGTGCCTTGAAGGCTAAAGTCATGCATATCATCCATGTCCGTACAAGTCTGGCGCACCGTGATCTCTGGCTGCATGTCCGTTTGCTCGGTGCTGATGAGATGATTTTGTCTCGGTGGCATTGTAGGTAGGTGATCTGCCAAAACTACGTGGAATAACAGACTGAAATAATCACTGAAATTCAAATGCCCGTGCCGTTTTGAGTCTTGACCCAGGCCAAGACCGAAGACCGACTCTCGGTAAAGCTCTCCCGACGTCCGACTCCCGACCCCGACTCCCGTCCGGGAACCTACTCCGAAAAGTCGTAACCGTCCGCTCCGTCTCACGACACAGGGAGCAAAACCACAGGATCGCCGTTGATAATCCTCACGCAGACTCTGCCGTCGTCATTCGCAGTGTATGTCCACTCGGTAAAGAAGACATCCTGCCACGTCCTCCCCGCCACCCCCGTCTCGACGCACTGCCGACCGTCATACCCCCACCCGAAATTGGTCGTAACCACGATCAACCTGCCGCCCGCCCGGCTCCAGGCGTACACCCCGTCAGCCACCACGAGGGAGACCTGGTCATCGTCCGCCAACCCGCCCGCGCGCTTCTTCGCCGACGTGAGACGCGCAATGGCCCGGTACAGGACCGCGTTCCGATCATACCCGCTCCGCCAGAGATCCTCGCGGTTCGCCGGGTCCCTGCCCCCGTGGAACCCCTGCTCCGTGCCGTAATACACGATCGGGATGCCGCGCGACAAGATGACGTAGGCGAGCGCGTTCTGGAGCAGCGACACGTCGTTCTTCTCGTTCAACCACCGCGTGTTGTCGTGGTTGTCGAGGAACGTCCCCAGGGCGGCCGGGTCGGGGAACGTGCGGCCGACGCGGTCGTGCATGTCGGCCAGCTCGCGCGACGAGCGGGCCTGCTGCTGGTAGAAGCGGTTCATGGGCCAGTAGATGGCGTAGTCGAGCAGGCCGTCCATGAGCCCGGCGTAGGGGGCCAGGTAGTCCGGGTTGCCGTCCCAGACCTCGCCCATGGTGAAGACCCCCGCGGCGCGCGCGAAGCCGGGCCAGAAGTCCTTCTCGACGTGCTTGACCGTGTCGATGCGGAGGCCGTCGAAGCTGTACTCCTGCACCAGCCAGGAGACCCAGTCGTAGAGCGCGGCGCGGACGGTGGGGTCGGTGGTCTTGAGGTCCGGGAGGCCGTAGATCCAGCATTGCTCGACGCTGCTTTGGTTGTTGTAGTCGATTTCGCAGTCGTTGTGGTAGGAGCTCGGTCGGTTGAAGGGGGCGGGTCTGAACTCGGCCACGTTGCCGTAGCCCATGTGGTTGGCCACGACGTCGACCATGACGAACATGTCCTGGCGGTTTGGTCTGTCGTCAGTCTTGCGGGGTCTTTTTGTCTCTGTGGGACGGTCACTGGGGAAGAAAGCTTACTCTGTCGTGGGCGGCATTCACAAGGCTCTTCAGATCTTCGGGAGTCCCATAGTGTTCATTGATGGACAGGAGATCCGAGGCCCAATAGCCGTGATAGCCACCAGGGGTGTCTAGGGTCATGTCAGATCATAGGACAGACGAGAGAAGCCGCAGATTTGGCGCAGAATAGTGAACTAGGGGTTGAGAGAAAAATGAAAAAAAAAAATTGAAAAATTGAAAAAAAAATTGAAAAAAAAGAAAGGAAAGGAGAACGCAAACGTACTAGCAACGACCGGCGTAATCCAGATGGCATCGAAACCCATGCCCTGGATGTAATCCAGTTGCGACTCGAGGCCGGCAAAGGTGCCACCACAATAACTGTCGAGGTGCTGACACGGATGCCTGTGACTTCCCGAACATGTCTCCTTGCTGTGCCGGGCGATGCGGTCCGTGAGCACGAAATAAATAGTGCGCGACTTCCAGGCTTCTGCGTCGGCGGCCAGGGCCACCGAGGCGAGCCATAGGAGGGCCGCGAAGAGTTGGGCGGTGTTGGATCCTATCATGGTGCGCGAGATGTGAAGACATGCAAGAGTGTAAACGAAAGCTCGGGGGGCACGGTGCCTAGGTTTTCAGCGCATCAAGGTCTCTTATAAAGGGACGGCGGCACTTATATAGTTTTGCATGGCGTCGAAGAATCATGTGATGGTTGATGGTTCCAAGCCACCAGACGCCTACACCCCGTGCCCTCAGTGATGTCTTGCGCCCAAGGTCTGAACCGTGATCAACTGTACAAAGTAGATACATGAAAAGGCCGAAATCCGGTCTCATACGGTCATACCTGCACCGCCTCCGTGCATGTGGCGTTTCCCTGGGCGCTTCTTGACTACCGAGGACGGGCCGATCTCTGTGCTCCGTATGATGGCAGAGGCGCCGGGCGCATATGCCGCATTGGGGTCTTGGACCGCTGGGGGTTACCTTACGTCCTTACCCGTGCCCGTACTTTGCCTTACCCAGAGACTGTCGCCAAAAGAACCCCAACGCTGCCGAGTCCGGTACAAGTCCGTGGTGACTCGTGAGGACCGGACCTCAGATCCCTGGGCAGAAGCGGAAGCTCCGCGCATCATGTCGAATCTCGGCCCGTTGTCATCGATCATTTCTTGGCCTTCTTCTGCAGGTGCATCTCTATTCGGGCCATCTCGAATGGATAAATGGAGCAGAGGGTGCAGGAATTACTGCCTCGGCCTCTTCATCAGTCTTCTGCGACTGGACTCTCACCACCTGCGCCCTTTTTCTCCATATCCATGGTGCCATACCTGAAGAAATAAATTAGCAAAGCATCGAAAAGGAAGGGGAGAAAAAAAAAAGAGGAAGAAAGACGAAAGCCAGCTCACCACGCAATCGACGCCAAGCCCAACAACGCAGACACGCAACTCCCAGCCATAGCAATGTACCCCTTCGCCGTAAACCCTTCCGGCAGCGGCGGCACCGCCCTATTCTCTCCCGAGAGGTCCAGCACGTCGCGCGTATTCCCGGCCGCATTCCCCTCAGCCGGGACCCCCGCCGCCCTGCAAGCCGCGAGATGGTCCTCCGGGATCCCGCCGTCTTTTAGTTTCCGCCGCAGTTCCGCCGGCGCCTCGACGAACGTGGCAACGAGCCCCTGTTCCATGTGCCACTCAATGTGGCAATGGAAGAGCCACACGCCGGGATTGTCGGCGCGGAACCGCAGGACCATGTTCCCGTTGCCTTGGACGACGACGGTGTCGCGGCGCATGGGGACCGGGGGGAACGATATCCCTTCGTCCTCGATGAAGACGCCGGCGTCGGGCGGGGAGCGGTGGATGACCTGGAAGTTGTGCCCGTGCAGGTGGAACGGGTGGTCGCCGTCGTCGCCGTTGTTGAGGACGATCTGGATCACGGCGTTGTGGGAGAGGACGTGGGGGATGGTGTTGGTGCCGTAGACGCGCGGGTTGGCGGCGTGGTCTGGGCCGACTGTCAGGGCGGAGTAGAGGGAGGGGACTTTGGGGGCGACGTAGGTCATGTCGTTGAAGAAGGCGCTTGAGAGGGCCCGAGTTAGTCCCCCCTGAAAAGGAGAGAAAAAAAGGGGGCAAAGGGAGGGGAGGGGAACATACTAATTGGCACCATCACCCAGGTTGCCCATCTTGGCATCCAGCGTGATGGAATAATCAGGCTCCCCCAAAAGCCCCAGTCCATCAACGGGCACCAGATCAAAATCATCGAAAGCATCCAGCCGATCCACCGTCTTGGGCCGCGGCAACGGCTTCGCATCATCATACACCAACCAACCCGTAACATTGGAGTTCTGCCCCTCGGGAATCACATCAAACAACTCCTCATCCATCGCACTAACCATGGCAAAGTTCTCGTCCCCGCGCTCCCGCGTCGTCAAGAGCACACTATACCGCTGCGCCGGCGCGATATACAGCCTCTGCGCCGGTGCCGCCTCCTGGGTCCACACGCCATCCACCTCGACCACGCGCATCTCGTGGCCCTCTACCCAGAAGTAATGCGCCGCGAAGGCCCCGACGTTGACCAGACGGACCAGGTACGTCTTGCCGGCGTCGACCCGGACCTGCAGGTCCTGCGTGTCGTTCAGCAGCGCGGCTTGCGGGACCGGTTCGGCGCCCGTCGGGTTCTCGACGCTGATGAACTCTTGGAGGAGGGATTGCACGGGCCGGTGGTACCAGTCCGACAGGGAGATGATCAGTTCGTCGTCGTATTTCCCCTCGTGGGGACCTTGCGGGTCGTGGACGACCACGGGGGCCCGGAAGCCTTCCGGGTATTGCCCGTCGTTGTGGGCGTGGTACCAGTAGGTTCCTGGTTGTTCGAACTGCTTGGAGTGAGAAGGAGAAGGGGGACACATGGAATCTAGTGAGATTGTTCTCTCCTTGGTTGCCTTACCTTGATATCGTACGTGAGAGATGACCCCGGCGGTATAGCGCACTGCGTGACACCCACGGCGCCATCCATGTAGTTCGTTCCGTTCTGGAAGAGGCCGTGAAAATGGACGCTCGTGCTCGCGTTTCCCAGGTTATTGTGCACGTTGAGGATGAGCCTGTCGCCCACTGTCGCCCGGATGAGAGGTGGCGGCCACTTTCCGTTGATGCCGATGGTGGGACGCTGGAATGCGCCGTCGGGATTCGCGGTCACCCATGCCACGGTGAAATCCTGCGTTAGAGTCGCTGCCCATACGGGAGACGGGGACAGGGACAATGAGAGCAGCGCCGCCGTCAGGCTCACCAGGAAGCCGGCGGTCATCGTAGCTAGGTCTCGGTGAAGAAGAGGGAGGGTTGGGAGCACAGTTGAGAGCAGAAGCCCGGCAGGCCATCAGCATCGCATGGTTTGAAGTGTCCCCGGGGATTTCGCGGTCACGAGGCGAAAGTGAATGTTGAAAGTGAAAGTAATCGACGAAAATACTGGAGCAACAGGGGGAGGTTAAGGAGGTTAAGGAGGTTAAGTGTCAGATGGAGGAAGGTCGATATCGGGGCGTGACTTTGGTTTAATTCCGGGTCAGTTCGGCTACTTAATCGGCTTGTACCTGTAACCCTGACAAGCCCTATTTCCCTAGGATAAATAGTCACAGATACTTCCCACGGAGGAACCTTTCCCCTCTGTAAGCGAATACACACATAATTCCGAGTACCTATATTTGTGTTCTGACATTAAGGAGGTTAAGGGGTCATCAACGGTAATACCTGTGTCAGAACACAAATAAGGTACGCGGAATTATGTGTGTATTCATCTAAGTGAAGTCTATGATACTTTATAGGAATGTCTAACTATACGGAAAAAGCAGGGGAAATAAGGGTGGATATATAGGACTAAGGTACTCCACACGTCTAATACTATATAGTTTGTCACACCCCGATATGGTGGCTATAGTATCTAACACACCCCCCCAGAACTATAGGATTGATCCTGACTATTCTGCTTAATTTGAAGCTGTAAATCTAGGGTAAAATAGTGGCCTAGATATTAATCTAACGGTTAAAGAACGGCTTATTAAAAAGCGCGCTCCTTTTATGCCTAAAACCATTAAAAACGTATAAAAACAGGTGGTTAAATTAACCTTAAAACCACGTTAAAAACGGGTGCCTAAATAATAATCTAAAGGGCACTAAAACCACGGTTAATCTAGACTATACATTATAAACTCGGCACCGCGCCTCTTATAAATTACCTTAAGCCCCGTGGCTTAGGACCTCTATCCCTAACAGATATATAAACGCCCTGTGTTTCTACGGGAGCAGTACTTTTATAAGGCTATCGCTAACTATATTATAGGTAACAATCTAATTAATCGAGATAGTCCCTTTTTAAACGGTTTATCGGATCTAAAGGGCGTGGATATTAAGATACTTTAATTTCGAGGTAACCTATAGCCTAGGGGATTCTAGTAGCTACTTAGTTTATTAATTATCGTAGTATACTATAAGTGGTTCCTCCTTAAAGGTTAATATTAGGTCCTTTATTAAACGCCTTATCGCGATATACTGCCTAGTAATAGTAAAAAGTGCTATAAGCTCGGCTTTAGTATAAGAGGTCACGACGCTTATTTACTTATTTACCTTCTAGTCTATAGGACCCACGAATAGCAGGGTCGTATACCCTTACGAGCTATACCTAGTCTTATGGTTGTCTATGAAGGCGGTGTCGGAAGTATAGAAGAGTATAGGCTTTTAGTGGTCTTTACGTGGTCCGAAGTAAATATATAGGGTCTTTATCGAGCTAAGATACTTTAGGCACTTATCGGTAGCTTCGTGATACTATTTTAAAGGATTAGTGCTGAATTCGGTATGCCTCGAAGCGGCTTTAAAGACGTTAGGCCGGGTCTAATAGGCGGTGTAATTAATAGAACCGACCTTCCGAAGATATAGATAGATTAATTCCTCGGAGGCTTATTAGTTAGTAGGTTCTAGAATATTAGGATAAGGAAAAGGGCTTTTAACCCTACGACCTCTATAATCCACCTATAATGCCTTTATTTTATCGGTGATATAGTTATTAAGCGATAACTATAGCTTACGTTATTAACGATCGCGTCCTACACGGATTCTAAGGAACCACTTAATTAGTCCTAGATCCCTGATTTAGAAGCTCTTCTATATCTGCTATACTAGATTATTAGTAGCAGATTAATATTCCTTATAGTAGATTAGGATAATATCGTTAACGTAAAAGAAAGTAATTAGAACCTTGTTCTTAAAGACGTAATCGTCTTCGGTTAATTACTTTAAACCGCACTTACCTAGTACGGAAAAGAGCTATTAGTGCTATAGCTTTAGGGAACGGCGAAGGCTATATAACGCTTAACGTAGCCGTTAAATCCCTCTTTGTATATAGGAGGGCGTTACTTTAAAAGGTCCTTAAGCTATTCGTGGGCTTTAAGGCCTGTAGCCGACTAGAGCAACTACTAACTAGGAGGGTCCTTAATATAAATCTCTTCATTAAGTAGGGTATTAGTGAATACGTTAACGGCGTTAAGTTACTAAGTCTTAAGATTAAAGTAGGCTATAATACCTATCAGCGACTTCAAGGTCCTTCTAGCGAGGGTGGAGGCGTAGGCGTTAAGGTGGTTATTAGGTTATTAATCCCCTTAAATGTATAGGCGTACCTTAAACTTATTAACGTAACTAGTAGAATCGACCTTATACTTAAAAACCTATTTAAGGTCTAGTGGCCTTAGAACTAATTTAGGTAGTCCTAAGCCGTGCCCCTATTAGTAGGACTATTCCTATTATTTAAAGGTGCCTATTAACCTAAGCGTGTCGACCTCCTATAAGGCGGCCTTAATCTATTCTAATTTATAAGGACTCTTTAGTATTTAAGACTAGTTTAGAGGTTCCTTAGGTATATCGCGGCGGAGCAGCGGTATCTTAATCTGATTATAGAAGGTATAAAAGGAAGGAGGGATATAATAGTCGGTTAGACGCCTGCTACGCGTAGGCCTGTTAGTAGCGGCTGTTAGAATAACGGGAGGGCGGCTTCTTCTGCTATTAGAAGCAGGTTAGTTAGCCGTGGTAATAAAAGAAGAGGATTATAAAGACTTAGCTATAGTAGGTAACTCTGCCGTAGCAGGAGCCGTAGATATCGGATTAATAGCGGTAGTAGTATTAGTTGATTCCTCTTTAAGAATGGATTAGTTAGGGGATAATAATCCTATTACGACGGTATCGCCGGTTACGACCGTATCGTTAGATTGATCTTTGGTATCGTTAGGCCGTTTAAAAATAGGCGGTAGATCCGTAGTTCTAGTTAGTGGTATAGGAGGGCCGTTTATAGTTATTAGAAATGGGAAAATAGGTGCTATTAGAGGTATAATTATAGGTGTAATTATAGAAGGCGTTATTTAAGCAGGTGCCGCCGGAGGCGTAGAAGGCGTTATAGGGCTTGTTTGCCTTATTCTATGTGCCTCCTGATTAGCAGGTTAATCTTCCTGCCATTATTATTCTTCGGCAGATTCTATAGTGATTATTAAACCTATACCTCTATCCACCCCCCTAGAAGCACCGGTAATAGTAGTGGCCGCCTCCGCTATAGCCTCCCTCGTGGTATTCTGCTCTAGTAGCATTTAAGGGTGTAAATCGACTACGTTAGTAGTAATACCTAAAGGATCGTGGAGTTAATAATCTATAGGCAGATTAAGCTACTCGAAAACCTTAATTAACACCTTAGGTTCGTGGTTATAATCTTTATATAGCTATTTTTCGTTAAAGGTAACGTCTCTTATCCGCAGGATCCTCCCTAATTTTAGTACCTAAATCCGATATATATTAGTGCTCTTATAGCCGATTAAATAGCCGATATATACTCTTTCCGCGAGCTTAGCGTTAAGGTTACGTCCCTATTAATAGTCGGCGGTTAGTGGATATACCCTGCACCTATACCTTTTTAGGTAGCTAACGATAGGTATCGTCAGGATCTTCTTTAGGCCTTATTTATTAATCTAATCCTCTATCTGCCCTTAAGGGGTTTTTTACTAGAGGTCCTTCCGAGGGATAAGGTTATATAGATATACTATAGTAGCCACTAGTTCTAGCTATATATCCTATTAAGTGCCTGAGGCCGTTATAAGAGTCCTCGTGATAGTAAAAATAACGCCGCCGTGGCGTTCTGCCTTCGGATTCTACGCGGCTATATATAGCGATAACCTCTTTAGCAAAATCCCTCTCTTATCGGCCTATTTATCGAAGCCTTTCTAAAGGGATCTTTCTCTATCTAGGCAGATTACTATAATTATATAGTGGTACTGCCTTTAAAGGAAGAACTTAAAATTCACTAATATAGGTAAGGCTAATTTATAGTCACGCAGGAACTGTATAATAGCTTAACGAGTACAGGGATTGTATAAAAGCATCACGACCTTTATACCATTATAGGCCTCGTTAAGGCTAAAGAGGTTAACCTCTACCCTATACCACGGCCTTATCGTTTAGTGGTTAGGTAACCTTCTAGAAATAACCTTCTTCGCCTTACTAAGGGTATACGCCTTATAATCCACTATAAAAGGGCCTTTTTAACGTCCTTTAATAATACCTCTAATAAAGGTATCTCCTATTTTATCGAGGGTAGTAGCGCCGGCGTACCCTAGTCTTTCGTGCTATAAACGAGCGTTAGCCACGCTTATAGTAGGCGTTATAGAGCTATTAAAGAAGCTACTTAGTAGGTGCTATTAACGATCCGTTAGAATAAGAGCGTATTAATCGTTAACGTTATTAAGAGGTAGGGCTAATAAGCCCTTTTTAGAGGCCACTTTTAGCACTTCGAGGCTGGAATCAAAAATAATACCCTATTCCTTTAATCTTCGAGTCGCGATTAAGGTTATTAGGCAGTCTTATATAAAAGCAACGCGATTTAGCACTAAAACGAAGGGATTACTATATTCGTCGTCTACTTCTAATTATATCCTGCTATAACCCTTAACTGGCTTAGTCTCTCTACTACCCGTTTAAAAACAATACTCTTCTATAGCAGGTTCGAAGCCCTATAGCAGGTATCGTTAGACAGTAATATACCTTAAGGTGCCGGAGTCGATTAGCAGCTAATTAAAGAGGTTACTGCTAACCGTTACGTTATTTATCTATAGGAGGGAATATATCATATAGGAATCCTTATCGGAATCCTCGTCCTAGTTATCGACAAAATTAAATACCTCCGTCAACGATTCTTTCGGCTATAACTTCTAAGGGTCCTTTTTAGCACCCGTTTTTAGGCTTTTAGCGTCCTTTTCGATATTCTCCCGGAATCTCTTTTAACGA